TTGTTCCTGACCACGGATTTAAAGGGCAATGGGGCTAATTTATCATTCAAATCTGTCATAACAACCAATCAGATTTTATCTGTCACTTATGTTTCCCTAGGTTACAAAATACATAAAGTGTATTTCCACTTTCATCCACATTTTGTATTTGTTACATAATATTTCTCATTCGCATTGCATAAAAAAAGTTGCTGCTTGCCCAAAGCATGCTTTTATGATAATGAACCCTGACTGTGCTATGCTGGCAGGTCTCATTATCATTTGTAAACTAGATATGAACAATGTCTGTCCTTACAAAGGGTTAGAGATCGAGAAGCATTGTTAACGAGGAAGTGCTCATTCTGTCCTTCGTCTTTCTATTAGGACAGTCAGAGTTTCCACTTCTGAAATTGAGAGAGAAGCTTGCAAATAGAGACTGAACCCTTATTGAGCCAGAGAGACCGAACTGAAAAGGACTCATGATTTTCCAGCGAGCTAATTGTCCTTAGGTTCTTGCTGCCTATGCACAGAGGGCAACGTCATCCTTATCCAATGAGGTTCTTTGGATCTGTTCTCATTTAACTGGTCAAGAATGATGACCACATCTCAAGACTACATATCCCATGATGCATTGCTTCCATCAAGAAATGATAATGATACATTGCTCAGATGTTGAGTTGTCGTTCAGAGGTCAGGCTCTGTGAAAGTCATACAGTATTCACAGGACTGAGTGACATTGTGTCAGTGCATTGAGGAAGTGCATGGGCATCGTCAATAAGTAAGTTTACAAACTTCTAGATGGATCTGGTTATTAGGAGTGCGTAGGGTTCCCACCTGTCCCGGATTCACCTGGACAGTCCGGGTTTTGAGTCCTGTATGTGCTGTTTTTGAGTTTTAGGCCAGCTGAAACCCAGACACAGCACATACGGGACTCAAAACACGGACTGTCCAAGAGAGTGGGGGCCAGCTGGCAACCCTAGGAGTGGGATAGAACTAATGGAAATTCAATATAGAAGTACAGATTTAGTTTTAGTGTTTGACCATCGCGGTTGAAAAAAACATGCGGTGCGAAAAAAGGTACATGCACCTTTTTTCGGCGATTGCCGTGCGGATGTAACCCCATGTAAAACAATGGGGCTGCGCACCAACCGCTGTGTGTACCCGCACACAATCGCGAGGTCCAGGGGCGCACGTCCCGGGATCATCAAAGTCTTGACCAGCCTTTAAAGATGTCATGTGACTGTTCTTCTGACTACCCTTTTGTACGCACGCAGACACACAAATCCAAATGTTCTTTAGTAAAGTAAAGACACAGAAGAGCAGTAAATCTACCCGGGGGGGAAGCTCAGTCTTTATGGAACAGTGTACCGTTGAGGACAGTTGCTTGCATTGAGCTGCCTGGCAGTAAATCTCACATTTCACCTATATGTAAGTATGACTGTTACAGAAAGTATTTGCATAATGGATAAAGCTGACTCTCCTGGATTTTGTGGCACGTTGCAGAGCAATGTGACCCCCCCCCCCCTCCCCGTTCTCCATAACCCTCTGGTTACACAGCATGTTTCTAGGGAGAGCAAACATTTTCCAGTTGTAAATGAGTAACACAAAAATCATGAACAATTCTTCTCATACAGCCACCGCCATCTCTCCTGGGGCCATTAACAGAAAAAGCTCAAAGGAGCATTGACCCCAGCATTGCTCATTGATTGGCACTCCACAAAACCATCTGTCATTAAAACTGATCTCTGGTCTTCCCTTCAATCTTATTTCTGACCTCCGGCCTACTCTTCAGTCTTGCCCAGTTTTACCGGCTCCTCTCCTGGACTGACAATTGCTTCTTTTGATTTCATTGCACACTGTGAGCTTCTCGCAATGTTCATTAGAAGCTGTAGCAAGTCAGATAGAGCCCGTCTCATTTCCTGCCTGGAGAACGTCCAGCATTACTTAGCATTTTCATTCACTGGATTTCAGACAATCACAGAGGTTCAGCGTTGTGAGCGTTGCCACAGCTTCCTGTTTTTAGGAAGTTAGGTACAGCACCCTGCCGGCCTCTCCCACAAACCATGATCTGCCTGTATTGCATAGAGAAGAAGAAAGACCCAAGGATGATGTCTCTGGGTTGAAAATAGGGTTGAAAGGGGAATGGAAATTTTTGGAAAAATGTAATTGACATGTTGATGAGGGGGAAGGGAGGAACCAGGGAACGCAAAACATAAGCAGATTAAACTTCAACCCCAAAACCTGAGACCATAACCCACCGCAATGCTGAACCACAAGCTATTCTGAGGCCCAGTTGATCTAATTTGTCCCACTCAATTCTTACCACACTTTTTGGATAACTGCAGGCATTCGATTGGTTGTAATGTAATAACCTTCTATTCTAACTTTCATATCTCATGGTATCATATTGGCTAAAGGCTGGTAAGAATGGAACCATACTTGCCATAGACAGACCTATGTCTTACCAAGTACCCTACACAAGTATATGTTTCACCAAGACCCTAGACAGACATATATCTCACCAATAAGCCTAGACAGTGCATAGGTTAAACTGAATGTACCTGTGTCTTTAATTTATTCAACCTCAATAACCATGTAACTATAATTCTCACCAAGAACCATAGGCAGGTATATGTTTCTTCAAGTACCCTGCACTGCATGTGTCTCACCAAGAATCTTACACAGGCATATGTCTCTCCAAGAACCCTACACAGGCATATGACTCACCAAGAACCCTACACAGGTATACTGTATGTCTCTTTGTGAACCCTAGACAGGATATGTCTCTTCAAGAACCCTACACAGGCATATGTCTTTTCAAGAACCCTAGACAGGCAAATGTCTCTCCAAGAACCCTAGACTGGCATATGTCTCTCCAAGAACCCTAGACGGCATTTGTCTCTCCAGGAACACTCAATGGGCATATGTCTCTTCAGAAACCCTCGACAGGCATGTGTCCCAACCAAGAAGCCTAGACAGGCATATGTCTCACCAATAAGCCTAGACAATAAATAGGTTGAACTCAATGGACTTGTGTCTTTATTCAACCTCAACAACTGTATAACTATGTAACTAGATGCCTCACCAAGAACCCTACACAGGCATATGTCTCTTCAAAAACCATAGGCAGGTATACAGTATGTCTCTTCAAGTAGACTAGACAGGTATATGTCTCTTCAAGAACCCTAGACAGGTATATGTCTCTTCAAGAACCCTCAACTGGCACATGTCTCACCAACAGAAACCCTGAACAGGCACATGTCTCTTTAGGAACCCTAGACAGGCAAATGTCTCACCAAGCACTTTAGACAGGCATGTGTCTCTCCAAGAACCCTAGACAGGCAAATGTCTCACCAAACACCTTAGCCAGCATTGTCTCTTCAAGAAACCTAGACAGGCATATGTCGCTCCAAGGACCCTAGATGGGCATATGTCTCACCAAGAACCCTACACAAGTAGATGTTTCACCAAGGATCCTAGACAGACATATGACTCTTCAAGAATCATAGACAGCATTTGTCGCTTCAAGAACCCTAGACAGGTATACGTCTCTTCAAGAACCCTCAACTGGCATATGTCTCACCAAGCACCTTAGACAGGAAAATGTCTCACCAAGAGCCTTAGCCAGGCATATGTCTCACCAAGAACCAAAGACACGCATATGTCTCACCAAGCACCTTAGACAGGAAAATGTCTCACCAAGAGCCTTAGCCAGGCATATGTCTCACCAAGAACCAAAGACACGCATATGTCTCACCAAGAGCCTTAGCTAGGTATATGTCCCACCTAGAATATGGGGATGGGTAATGCGAATTTACTATTATTATTATTATTATACAGGATTTATAGAGCGCCAACAGTTTGCGCAGTGCTTTACAATATAAGGAAGACATTACAATCACAATACAATTCAAGACAAGATGGTAAGGAGGGCCCTGTCCCTGAGGGCTTACAATCTAAGAGAGAGGGGCCAGTGATACATGAGAAGGTAGCTGTGTGGGGATGAATTATTTGAAAAACTAAAACAAAACTAAAATCATCATACATTCCCTTAAGCCCTCGTTCACACCTGAACGTTTTGTAGCGCGTTCTATGCTCGACGAACGCTCTACAAAACGCTCAAAAATATAAATCCCATTGTATTCAATGGTCTCGTTCCCACCTTGGCGTATTTCCGCCCGTCCCTAACGCGCTACAAAACGGCCCACGCCTGAAAAGGTACAGGTACTACTTTGGGCTGTTTTGTTTCCATTGGAAACGCGCAACAAAACGGCCCAAAGTAGTACATGTACCTTTTCAGGCGTGGGCCGTTTTGTAGCGCGTTAGGGACGGGCGGAAATACGCCAAGGTGGGAACGAGACCATTGAATACAATCGGATTTATATTTTTGAGCGTTTTGTAGAGCGTTCGTCGAGCGTAGAACGCGCTACAAAACGTTCAGGTGTGAACGAGGGCTTAGAGCCAAATCAGACATCTGCATAATACTACATTTGAGAAAACGGTAAAATGCTTTAAGTAATGGCGGTGCGCCTATGTGTGCCACCAGCCATGGTAACTTCTGTGCTACCCCCCTGCTTGGCAGGACACGCTGTAAGTCATGGAGAGTATGGGGCAGTTTGCAGGACGGGCGTGAAGTCCTGCAGAAAGGGGGCCACTTGTCAGCTGTATGGCCTCTGTGACCGTTTCCTACCAGAAGGACACAAATTACACTCATAGATTGTGAGATCTTTTAGCAAAGTAACATGGTCTCTTTGTATACACTCCTATGTATGTGTATACGTGTGTCTATATATCGCTGTGTAGAACATGTTATAGCAGATTCCGTCACATTTCCTCCCTTGCTGCGCTCCTATTAACATTGCAAATTATTATCCCCATTAACCCTTCGGAGCTCAGTGTGTAGGCTGCTGCACAGCCCCTGAACTCATATTACACAGCTCCAAAGCATGAGCTCACCCTTACTAGTCTACTGGGGGCTGGGAGAGGAGGGGAGAGAATGGGGGGAGAGAGGGAGGGAGGCAGGCTTCTGTGTGTTCAAAAAGTGTGCAGGATACGGGGCTGAGACTTGAAGGACAACTTCTACAGCATTGCAGCCAGGGACCCTCATCAGAGCCGGCCTGATAGAAGCCATCCGCCTGGAGGCTGCAGCGCTGCTACTGACCTGTGAGTGTGTTGGGTAGATGAGGGTGGGAGCTGCACCGGTCTTTGTGTAATGGGGAATTCATAGCGAGGTTTTACACTGCAGATTGTCGGGCAAGGCATAGACTGTACATTGCATTGTGATCAGCAGCCTGCCTCTGAAGAGCTTTCAATGAAAGTGGGGTAGATCTGGTGGGTTGATAGCGCTGACAGCGCTGGAGCGATGAGAGTCAAGGTTGGTTTTGATGAATAGAGAATACGGTGCGTTTTACCGTACAATGCAAGTGAAGTATGTATGGATCTGGTGGGGGTTCGCTTCTGCTTTTTTTGCAAAATTTAGACCTCTTAAGACGGGCAACTTTTTGGGTGTGTGGCGAGGAGCGCCAAGTATGCATCTTGCTTGAAATAATTTTCTATTGGTTAAGACCATTATGTACATCCAACGCGTTTCGGGGAAAAGGACTCCCCCTTCTTCAGGGCTTGACAAATAAATTGCAATGGTATCCAAGGTGCAAGACTGTTAAGAAGTGATACTCTGCAGGGTGCACCGTCTGCCTCTGAAGATCTCACTTACAAGGTGTAACCTCCTGCTTTGACACTGTGCAGGGTGACAAAGCCTATGCCTGAAGGGTCGACATATTTAGGAGTAATACTCTGCAGACTCATATAGACTGCGGCTTAAATTTCAGCACATTCTAAGGCATGCTCTGAGTCCTGTATTTTACACTCCCGAAAATTGTAAGTTAAGCTCTACAAAGTCGCAAATCTTGTGGCTTAAGAGCTAACACATTCTTAGTAATACCCTGCAGGGTGCAAGACCTTACATCACCCGGGCGTGATAGTCTGCAGGCTTAAAAAAAAAAACCTTGCATGTGAAGATCTGATTGTGATGCTTTGCAGGTGTCACGCAGCCCTTTGCAGAAAAATAAAAAGTGATACTCTGTAGTTTGGTAAATCTTGTCCTGCACAAAAGGGAGTGATGATCTGCATGTGGCACACAGCCTGGCTCTGCAGAATGTAAGCAGCAGTGAGTGATGCTCTGCGGGTAGTACACAGCCTAGCTTTGAGAAACTGACATCTTAAGAGCAATACCCTTCAGGAAGCACCCAGCTCAGCAATAAAGTAGTGAGCGATACTCTGCAGGCACAAAGTTTGAAGATTCATATTAGGGAGTGATGGTCTGCAGATGGCAGACAACTTGGCTGTACGGAACTTACACAATAGGGAGTGGCACTCTGCTGTTATGAGATCTGTCTATGCAGATTTGATCTAGTCAGGAGTGATATTCTGCAGGTGGCCCCAGCCTCACATAGGCAGCATGTTGTACAAATGTTCCTGCGATGCTCTGCAAGGCTCATTGTCAGAGCTGTTCAGGGAAGTGTGAACGGTTCACTCATTACAATGTAATTGGCCTTGGAGCAGGGCAGAGATAGCACTTGCCTTGCAGTGAGTCCTCCTTGTCTACATACTTCACATAACAGAGAGATGCTCTGCCTGAGCTGCAGCACGTACAGAGTTACACTTTATCCTGGAGTGTGATGGCCCTATGTGCACAGCAGAGCATTCCAAACCAGGCTAAGTGAGATGCTCTGCATGTTTTACATCGGCTCCTATGAGTGATGCTCTGTCTATGTCACATAGCATTCTAGGAGTGATGCTCTGCCTGTATTACCGTGTTTCCCCGAAAATAAGACACTGTCTTATATTTTTTTTGACTCAACAAAATGCACTAGGTCTTATTTTCAGGGTAGGTCTTATTTTTTTAATGTACAACAATCCACACTTATTACCGGTAGAAGACTTACATGACAGGAGTGAGTGGCAAAGTTAAGAATAGGGTGATCAGGGCAGTCAGGGGTGCTGTACCTTTCCAAGAGCAATTTGGTAACCAATCGCTGGCCAGAATGAGCGAAGCGCGCTTTCACTATCATTCCTCACAGGCGGAATGCATTTGGTATCACTCCGCCTGTGATAGGAGCCGGCGCTATAGAGGAGGCATCGGCTTATGCGGCTCTGCTCCCTCCGCTGCCGCCTCGCTTCCTCTAGCGCTAGCTTCGTGGGCACCGCTGATTCTCTCCAGCAGCTCTTCAAGTTCTCCCCTTATGCCACCACCGGCCCTGGGAATGGTCACAACTAGGTCTTATTTTCGGGGTAGGTCTTATATTTAAGCAATTAACAAAAATAGTACTAGGTCTTATTTTTGGGGTAGGTCTTAATTTCAGGGAAACAGGGTACATAGCTTCCTATGAGTGATGCTCTGCATATATTACATAGCCTCCTATGAGTGATGCTCTGCATATATTACATAGCCTCCTATGAGTGATGCTCTGCATATATTACAAAGCCTCCTATGAGTGATGCTCTGCATATATTGCATAGCCTCCTATGAATGCTGCTCTGCATAGATTACATAGTCTTCTATGAGTGATGCTCTGCATATATTACATAGCCTCCTATGAGTGATGCTCTGCATATATTACAAAGCCTCCTATGAGTGATGCTCTGCATATATTACATAGCCTCCTATGAGTGATGCTCTGCATATATTACATAGCCTCCTATGAGTGATGCTCTGCATATATTACAAAGCCTCCTATGAGTGATGCTCTGCATATATTGCATAGCCTCCTATGAATGCTGCTCTGCATAGATTACATAGTCTTCTATGAGTGATGCTCTGCATATATTACATAGCCTCCTATGAGTGATGCTCTGCATATATTGCATAGCCTCCTATGAGTGATGCTCTGCATATATTACAAAGCCTCATATGAGTGATGCTCTGCCTGTATTACATAGCCTCCTATGAGTGACGCTCTGCCTGTATTACATAGCCTCCTAGGAGTGATGCTCTGCCTGTATTACATAGCCTCCTAGGAGTGATGCTCTGCATAAATTGCCTAGCCTCCTAGGAGTAATGCTCTGCCTGTATTACATAGTCTTCTATGAGTGATGATCTGCCTGTATTACATAGCCTCCTATGAGTGATGCTCTGCATATATTGCATAGCCTCCTAGGAGTGATGCTCTGTATAGATTACATAGCCTCCTATGAGTTACATAGTTACATAGTTACATAGTATTTGAGGTTGAATAAAGACATTAGTCCATCAAGTCCAACCTATTAGGATCTCATTCTAGGAGTACCCGTACCCCTGTATATTACCGGTACCCCTGTATATTACCTGTACCAAGTGATGCTCTGCCTGTATTACATAACATTCCATGAGTGATGCTCTGCATATATTACATAGTCTCCTAGGAGTGATAGTCTGCTGTATTACATAACATTCTATGAGTGATACTCTGCCTATGATAGCTGTATGAAGATTCTCCCCTGCGGTGACTGATTCTCTGCATACCTTGTGTAGCTCATTGGATGCAATGATCTGCATTGTACACATAGCCTCTGATAAGTGATGCTCTGCAGGCAGTAGTAGTTATGGCCGGCAATGCTCTGCATAGCGTCTTGTGGAGCGATGATCTATGTGGATGAGCGATGCTAAGCAGACATTACACATCCAGCACTCAGTGACATTCTGCAGATATTACATAGAATTATAATGAGTGATGATCTGCATATATCATCCTGTACTGAGCGATGATCTGCAGACTCCATGATAAGTGATGATCTGCATATATCATCCTGTACTGAGCGATGATCTGCAGACTCCATGATAAGTGATGCTCTGCATATTTCATCCTGTACTGAGCGATGATCTGCAGACTCCATGATATTCAGAGTTTCCGGTAAACACTTAGGCCACTGACCTGTTTAATCATTGTGCAACTTCCTGTCTACAGTGTCAGGAATCTGTGTCCCCGGCTCTGTGTGACAACAAACATGTCCGATGGGCGCTTAGGGTTGCCACCTTTTCTTCAGGCCAAACCCGAACACTACAGCGCTTCACGGCAATTTGTTTGTAAAGTATACACTATGCATGTATTTTGTAAATAAACGACATTTGAGTTAATCACAACTTACCAGTATGCCACAGGTCCCCAGATATGCATTCTATAGATAAGTGTACAAAGCAGTACCCATATACCTTGCCGCAATTCTTACCAGATATACCAAAAGTAACAGGTGCTGGTAATGACTGCGGATGGCGCTGCTCACAGGCGCTCGGTATTTGTGAATCTGCATTATCACCTCAGAGAAATACTTAGCGGCTAAAGCTCTGCGTATCATCAACATTTGTCATTCATAAAATACTTATTTTCACCTTATTTCATCCTTTGTTGCATCTTAGTGCTGCTGACCTCCTATATCCTCTTTGCAGCCACTTCCTGTCAACATGCACTCCAGCGTTGGCTGCATGGCTCTTCTCAGGTTTGTTGATGGTGATAACTTACTCGCCCACATCTTTGGCCCAGTCCCCGGGACGCTGTCAGCCCCACCCATGGACTACACATATCTTGCTCTCCTTTCCGACAGTCCCGCCCACTTTTGGAAAGACCACTCCCCTATTAATTCACGGACCACCTACGCACAACTGTGATCCCCTCAGTGATGCTGCACATGCTCAGTAACTCCAATAAGAGTGTTGCTGTGATCACCAGACACAGCCTGGGACACAGCATCACCTAGATGTGGGCAGTCGGCATCTATGGACGATGCCTGTGTAATGTGTGTTGGAACAGCCACTTGTAGTCTCCATCAGAAGCCCATGTGACAGGGTGGCAACATACAAGTGCCATTAGGAAACAGGGACATAGTGTGGTCACTCTATAAGGCCTCGTTCACACCAGACATAGTGTGTTCAGTGTGTTCCGGCCCGATTCTGGCCAGAGCGCACTGCATGGCATTGTGGCCGGCTCACTATGTTGTGGGGCAGGAGGGGGCATGGCGGTCCATTGAAGTGAATGGCAATGTAGCCACGCCCTCCGGCCGCAATGCGATCGGCCGCACGGGAACGCAAGGCACATTGTGCCTGCAGTCGTCCGGTCTAAACAAAATAGTGCTTGCAGCATTGTGTTCGGACTGGACCGCAGGCATAATGGGGGGAATTTATCAAAACTGGA